AGTAGTTAACTAGCCTAAGGAATGACCTCAACTTAATTACCTTGGCTGATGATTCCCAATCTAGAATGGCATACACCTTGGCTGCATCCATGTGTATCTTGCCACCTCCCATTATGTGGCCTAAAAATGGTACCTCTCACTAGGCAAATGAGCACTTCTTCTTCATATACAGTTTATGTATCGATAACACCTTGGACACCTATCTCAAGTGGTCTACATGGTCTTCTAATGTCTGGCTCTATATCACAATGTCATTAAGATAAACCATAATAAAATGATCAAGAAACGATTGAAGTACCTTGTTTATAAGAGTGCAAAATGTGGCTAGAGCATTGGTGAGTCCAAATGGCATAACTAAGAACTCATAAAAATCATAACAGGTGACACACTCTATCATGGCCTCATCTTTTTATCTGATTCTGACCTGGTAATAACTTGACCTTAAATCTAGCATGGTTAACCACTTTCACCTTCAAGTTGGTCGAACAAGTCTGTAATGAGTGGGATAAGATACTTGTTCTTGATGGTTAACTTGTTTAGTGTCCTATAATCCACACACAACTGCAAGGATCTGTCATGCTTGTGATGGAAAAAAATTGAAGTATCGTACAAGCTCTTTGATGGCCTAATATAGCAACCTCAATCAACTCACCAAGTTACTTCCTCAGCTCCTCCAACTTTAGGGATGACATTCTGTAAGAAGCCTTGCCTGATGGCTTCGCCTCAAGCACCAGTTCAATCCTGTGGTCCACCTCTCTTTTGGTGGTAACCTACTAGGTAGCTATTGGGTATCACATCGTTAAAGGTTTCCAGCATCTCTAGCACCTCCAAAGGGGTGTCAATCTCTTTCTTTTTTAGCCCATCATACTTTAGGGTATCCAAGAAGGTGTCTTTATTCTTGCTCACGACATTGGCAAATTGTATGACGGATAGCACCTTGGTTCCAATCTTGGACCCTCACCTTAATAGTACAAATGATTAGCACCACTCATCCATAATACAAATACAATTGACAAAAGGCACAAGATGGGTGTAAATTTGAACAAGGAAATCTAAACCAATCACAAACTCATAGTCATCCAAAGGTATTACTTTGTTGGTTTCTTTGCCCTTTCAGTCTTCGAGTTGTAACTCTACCCTATGAGCTACTCGAATGGTTGGCACCTCTTTGGAATTCACAATCTTGATGGTACCAGTCCCTTTTTGCTACTTCAGTTTGAGCTTGTAGGCTTTATCACCTGAAATGAACAAGTGTGATGCTCTTGTGTCCACTAGAGCATTCACTTTTTATCTTACAACTAATAGATCCGCATATATCAAGACCTTTGGCTTATGGCTGCCCTTGTTTTAGATAACATTGAGCACTATCGGGCCAAGCTTTGCTACTCTTTTTTCTATCTCCTCATCGAACACCTTGTCTATGATTGCAAGCTTACCCATCTATGGGTAGTTTCATGCTATATGACTTTCTCCACATAGGTAGCATGAGATCGACTCTTAGTCCTTCTTAGCCTTCTGTTTCCCTACTAGTGGCTTCTCTTAGCCATCTTTCTCCAAACAATCTCAGTCCCTATCCTTGGGCTATAGATCATAGTCCTTTCCCTTGGACTACTTCTTTCAGTCCTTATTGTCCCTACCCTTCCCTTTAGGCTTGGAAGACTCATACTTGTTCTATGGCCTAAACTCTACTGAGAACTCAATTGTAGTCATGGTTTTGGCTAGATCACGAACTCCTCGCCTTTGTAACTCATTCTTCATCCATGGCTTAAGCCCATCCATAAAGGTAAATAGACCCTCAACCTCAATCAGATCTAAAATCTAAATCATCAATTCAGAGAACTTTTAGACATACTCTTTTATGTCCCCTTACTAAGTAAGTCGACGTAACTTTGCTCGTGCCTTATTATTGGTATACTCTAGGTAAAACTACTCTTTGAACTCTTTTTTGAACACATCCTAGATTCTAATCATGGTGCCCCTATGCTTCACATCATCATACATGCACCTCCACCATAATAAGCTGACATTATTAAGATACATGAAAGTACTGCTTACCTTACTGGCATTATCCTGTATGCTTGTAGCTTGAAAGTACTATTCCATCTCCCATAGAAATTTGTCCACTTTCATTGCAGTATTAGTTCCCTTGAACTCCTTTGTGCTTGGAGATCTCCATATGAGACTTGGGCACACCAGTAATCATGCCATTCCTAATGGTTGTCTTGCAAGTAGTGAGCTCCCCCTTAAGTTGCTCAAACTCGTTATGCTTGGTCTCCATCATGGCCTATAAGGCTTCATTCCTCTAGGTGAGGATGTTAATTATCTCATTTAGGGTAGCCTACATCTCACCTTTGAGCTCTTTTCCCCTGGAGTCCATATCCTCAAAGCAAGCCTCCACCTCATCAAGCTTGTCTCTCACATTGGCCACTATCACCTCTACCTTGGCCAACCTCCCATCCATGGTAGACCAGATGTCTCTCAAACTAGCTTTCTTCTCTCATCCATGGCCTTGCACCTGGACCTTTGGTTGTTAGCTAGCAACATCTCTCTAGGATGTCATCTTCTCAACTGTAATCTAGCAACCTACACATAAAACATGCAGGTAACACCTACTCAGATACCAAATTCGGTTGGAACCTGCTCTGATACTAACTATCACAAGCTCTTAACTTAAGCTTGAATCTGTGCAACATTAGGGATGGAATTAACTTCATATGCCCAAGTTCAGCCTATGCAACTAGCATGTAGGCAAATAAGAATAAGAAAGGGTAGAATACGCAAGTTAGAGAACACAATAGAGAATGCTGAAATATGCTATATATTACTAAAGACAGAATGTGTTGAAGGATGTAATGATGTACAACTAAGGTGGGCCAACACTCTTTTTATAGTTAAGGCCACTAGCTCTACTTATGGCTAACTCTAAAATTAGGGGATTTACAAGATTCTTTAAAATTAAGGATTACACATTATTACACAGATTACAAGGCTCCTCTTAATTTTCAGAGTTAATAGGATCTTCTTACTGAATGCTACCAATCCTAGATTGCTTTGAAAGATTCTAGATTATCCAAGCTCTCTTAGGTTATCTAGGTATGGTACAGGCATGTTACGAATTTGGTCGTGGCTATACTAATAGGCCTGTATGCTATGAAAGTGGTCTGGACTTATCTTCCATGCTTATTACACCAACCCCAACAACTATCCTTAGAGCTCAAGCTTTGGTCCTTGGTGCTCGAGCCTGAAAGATTGAGAGCCTGGTGTGCCCATCCAGGGCATAAAAATTATGCTTAGTTGAAAAGCTAGTGGTATGAGGCTACCATGTGCTAGATTATGATTGAATGCCAATAAGTCAGAATCTAAGCTAGAAGTGATACATGCACCTGTCGCTCGATTGCCGAACCACAATAATAGCCATGTCCCTCAAAGGCACGTGTTGTAAGTGTAGCCCTCGTGGCAGACAAGCCACGCGAGCTTTCTTGGAGCTCAATTCCCATTGAACAATGGGTAAAATTCTTTGTAGACAACTTAAATATGTGACAGTGTATTATAAATAGTAGGGTGGCCTTGCTACCACGATCCACTGAGATTTAGCCCTTTATCGCTTTGATTCATCCCTCCCAAAAGTCCTCTCACTTTATTTTTTTACACTACACCCCTCTAAGGTTGGGGATGAACAGTGTTCTTCATTACAACAGATTTAGCCAAGTGATGACATCCTTCCCTTGAGTGTCTAAGTAAATAAGAATTGAATGCCATTGGTATTTGTTATAGCGATAGGCTTGCCTTTGGTGCGGGTGTCACGGGCTCCAACCTTAGACTCAGAATCTGTGTGGCCTTAGGCTTGGAATCACTTACTTGTAGCCAAAGTCATCCTAAAACACCAGCACGGGCACTAGAACAATGGGAAGGGCTGATGTGCAAGTTTGAAAGAAACAGGGAAATAAGATAACTTGCTGGAATATGTTTTGTATTCACTGAAATAGAAGTGTATGATGGTGTACAAACAAGGGCGGAGTAGCCCTCTATTTATAGTTGAGGCTCCCAGGTACACTTATGGCTAAATCCTTAGGATCAAGGCTAAAATCAAGGAATTATAGAGATTACAATCAATTTGGATTCTATCTCCTGATTCTAAGGGTCAATCGAATCTGCCAGAAAGCTCCTGCTGATCTTGTGATTTTTAAAAAGATCCCCTTGTGTATCTCCCATATTGGGCCCTGCTGGATGTGGTGCGAGCATCATGTAGGCTAGACCTTGGCCTTACGAGTTGGCCTGTAAGCTATGCGGGCATTCTAGCCTTACCTCCATGGCCTTGTGCGCTAACTCCAACCAGTGCGCCTGGTGTGCGGTCCTCAACCTCTGGCTCACGTGCTGGTGCACTTGATGTGCCTGATGTGCCCACCTAGGGCATGACATTCTCCCCCACCTGATTGTGTAACGCCCTCGTTGCATCTTCTGCATGGTACTGCTTGATCTGGTCCTTAAATTGCCATAAGTCCTCTGCTGGTTCCCAACTTGCCTCACTATCTGGAAGTTTCTTCTAACACACTAAGTACTCTTATCTTGGTTGGTAGTTTTTCTGTCTCACCTTCCGATCAGGTATGATGCTGTGGACCTTCTTCTCATATGAGGCCTTTGCTCTCAATGGCGCACGTTTTGACTCTACTCATCCTGGATCTCCTTCATCCTCATGAAATGGCTTAAGCATGCTTACATGGGAACATCGGGTGTACCCTCAGCTTGGTTGGCAAATCCAGCTTGTAGGCAACCTTGCCTAGCCTCTTGACTACTCGAAAAAGTCCCTCATACCTCTGGACTAGGCCTTTGTGTAGCCCCCTGTGGCGCACAATGGGATGCAGCTTCACCAACACTAAGTCTTTAACCTAGAACTGCACGTCCCACCTATTCTGGTCTACCCACTTCTTCGACCTCTTTGTCGCCTTGTGTAGACGACTTTGGCCAAGTCAGTTTCCTCCTGCCATGCCTTAACAAACTTGTATGCTGTTGGATTCGACCCTGTATAACCTGCAGTAATTGAACCAGATGTTAGTGGTTGTTGACCTATCATAACCTCGAATGGGCTCTGGTTTGTTACCCACTCTTTTGTAAGTTATAGGAAAACTACGCAACATTTAGCAGCTTTGGTCAATCCCTTTGTATGGCACTTATATAGTGCCTAAGGTAGACCTCCAATAGTCCATTCACACGTTCAGTCCACCCATCATCTGTGGATGCATACTGGTGGAAAAGTTCAAGTCTGACCCCAACAGCTTGAATAACTCAGTCTAGAACCTGCCCGTGAAACGCTCGTATCGATCACTAACAATGGTCATCGGCACTCCGTAGTACTTAACCATGTTCTTCAAGAACAATCGACCTGCCTCCTCGGCTGGGCACTCCTTGGTTGTTGGAATGAAGATTGCAAACTTGGAAAACCTGTCCACCACTACCGTGATGCTTCCAAACCCCTCTATCTTAGGTAGACCGACTATAAAGTCTAGAGAAACACTCTCCATAGTTACTTTAGCACTGGCAATGGCTCCAAAAGACTGCTGGTTTCTTGAGCTCCACCTTGTCCTATTGGCACACAAGACAAGTCTTCACATAGGCCTTCACATCATCCTTTATGTGTGGCCAGTAGTACCGATCCTCAAGCAATGCCAAGGTGTGGCTCACTCTGGGTGTCTAGCCTACCTTGAATTATAGCAATCTGTAAAACTTCTTTGTGGAGCTTTCTATGCTGCGGCACAAACAATCTGCTGCCTTTGGTGTACAACAAACCATCATGCACATAAAACTGCCTAGTCTTACCTTACTAGGTGTACTCCATAAGAGCCTTGGCTACAGATCATACGCAAGTCCCTCCTTGATGCACGGTACCAATGACCCCTCTGGTTGGCTAATGGCAACAAGGTTAGCCTTCCTACTCAGGGTGTCTACCATCAGGTTTGCCCACCCTAGCTTGTACTCTATCTGGAAATCAAATTCTCCAAGAAAATCTTACCATCTTGCCTACTTAGGGGATAGTTTCTTTTGTGTCTGGAAGTAACTGGTCACCACATTATCCATC